ATATATATATATATATATATATCACAAGGAGATTACATTGCAAGACATTTTGGGGGCTCTTTTTTTGTTTAATTCTTTTTTTTTGGTTTTGTTTCGGCTACCCCTTCTTCCCGAGGGGGTGGAGGGTGCTACTGATACGAGCCGTAGCCAACACAGCAGTAGCCCGCCCACGTGCGTGGCGAGTAGCGGAAGAAACTCTCCTCCAGTAGCGCACGAATGGCCCACGCAAGGATGAGCGCCTTGTGGCAATGCAAATTCGCCGCGTCGTGGGCACCCAACTCCTCCTCGTCAACGGGGTTCTCCGCCATCGTGGCGGCGACCGCCGCCGCCGCCGCCGCCGCCGCTGCTGTTGCGGATGTTGTGGTCGTGTCGTTCGCCGAGACAGAGCGCTGCTGCTGCTTCTGCTGTTTTTGCTGTCTGTTTGCCTCCGACAGCAGCTCGTAGAACTTCGCGAAGAGCTTGGACGGCACCATGTCGGGCGTGCACCACTGTCCCACAATGACGCACGGCACGCCGCTGGAAACGAAGCCGCGGATGAGGCCCTGCACGTCGTCGTGCGTCCCCGCCACACGCGCGGTCGACATATTCGTGTTGCTCATCACCACCAGCTCCGCGAAGAGTTCCATGCGTGCGATCTCCGACGCGCGCAGCAGGCCGACCTCATCCCGCGACACCGCCACGCAGATGGCACCCGCGCCGCCTTCGTCGTTGCGCGTCGCGCACGTCGTCGGTGCGGTGATGTGAACCGTGCGGCTTTTCGGCAGGAAGTTGCGCAGCGCATCGAGATCGTCAATGAGCACCTCTGAGCTGCGCGTGACGGACACGGAGTCGGTGGTGCGTGAGCTGTGCCGCACGTCGCGCTTGTGCTGCTCCAGCGTGCGCACAATTGTCTCTCCCTCCTGCTGCGACCGCAGCGCGTCGAAGGGGAATGTGACGATCGTCGGCATCTGCGGCGCCGTTGTGTCGGTCTCGCGCTGCACGAACACTACATCGCGGCGCAGGTCCCGCTGCTGCACCCGCCGTGCGCTCAGCGCCGAGAAGGCGCACTGCGTCGCGCAGAACGCCATCTGCACCGCGAAGTCCTCGACAAGGAAGTTGCCATTGCGCGCGATGAGGGCGTTGAAGGGCACGAGCCACAGCCGCTCCGTCGGGATCAACGTGATGACGCCGTTATTACTCATGAAGAGCGGGTCGAGTGCGCGCAGGAACTCCACGACGGGGTCGATGAAGATGGCATACAGCGTCTGCAGCGGCTCCACCCACGCGCGCTTTGGGAACGTCATGACGATGTCGCTCGCACCGGTGCCGCAGTCGGAGAGAGGGTCGAGCAGAAGCCCACGCCGCACCGCCTCGACGAGGCTGTTGATTGATGGCACCTTGAAGTCCTTCGTAACAGCCACCTCCACGTAGCGCATCTCGTTCCCCTGGGGCACCACCCACATGTGCAGTTTCTCGTCCGCCACGTAACGCCGCTCGTCCTGCGACCACTCGTAGCGGTGCGTCGTCATCTGGTACAGGAACGGAGAGCGGATCTGCGAGGAGGTCGCCACTATGTGATCAAGCGTCGGCTGAGCACCGAAGTTCACCTTCATCTTGTCGAACAGCAGATCGCGGTGCTTGGAGACGAGGCCGCGCTCTAGCACCTCCAGTGCCTCGCCGTAGCGGTACGTGCTCGCAATGCTCGACACGAGGTACTTGAAGCTTACCGCCTCCATCATGGCTACAAAGTCACCCGACACTGACGCCAACAACTTGGAGCCACCAATGCCATTGTTCGTATTGTTGCTGCTGTTGTTGCGCTGCTGCGCGGCGACTTCCCGCAGTACACCCCACTCGAGCACTGCCGCGCGCAGCAGCGACTCCGCCGCGGCGTAGCGCGCACGCTGCCAGTTGACCAGCGCGCTGAAGGTGCGTCCGGCGGCGCGCAGGAGCGGGTCGTCAAGCTCCACCGCAAGCGTCTCGAGCGTGTCGAACTGCGACTGCGCGTGGCTGAGCTGATTTGTGGCGAGGCAGAAGTTGCCGATCTGGGCCGCCGCAAGCGCAGCAAACAGTTTGTGGTGCGTGGCAAAATTGTCGCAGGACGCCATGTCTGTCCAGAGCGTGCTGAGCATGATGCACTCGTGGTAGCTGTAGTGCGAGGTGCGCATCCAGCTCAGCGACTGCGTGTCCTCCGTGTCGAAGCAGCGCTGCACGAGGAAGCAGGCGACGGTGTCGAGTGCCTCCTCCACAACGTTCAGCAGCACGCGGCCGGCGCTGCCGCCGATGCGATCAATCACGCGGCGCGACGCCGTCCACGTCTCGACCGCCTCCTTCACCAACAGCATGCGCGGCCACTCGTTCACGTACGACGCCGTGTGCTGCAGCATCACGTCTGTGCCAGGCACCACAAAGTAGTCGTCGTCTGTCACATTCTGCTCCGGCAGCTGCTGTGCCCGCTCAAACACCTTCAGCGCCGCCTCGTGGCAGCGCTGGAAGACGGCATGCTGCACGTTTTTGCGCGCCTTGTACATTTCCCCCTCCCACTTGGCGTTGTGCGCCTTCTGGGCCACCTCCAGCGCGCGCTGGAAGGCCGCATCCGCCTCCTCAAGCTGGTCGTGGTCGAGCTGCTCTACGCCCTCCCGCACCAACATCTCGTAGCTCAGCCGCTGCAGGTTGTTGGACAGCACCGCCATCCACTCGCGGTTGTTCTTGCTCACCGCAATACCCATCGCCTCGTTCCACGCGGTATAGGCCACATCGAAGTGCTGCCGCACATAGGCGCGGCAGCCGCTGTCGAAGAGACGTTGAAACTGCTCCACACTGTCGAGCGCCATCCAATGCGGGCTATTTCGTAGCACATCCAGAGATGATTCGTCGCCGTCGTCGTCTTCGTCCGCATCACCCGACGCAAACAGTTCTGCTGCTGCCGCTGTGGCAGCAGCTGACTCGCTTTCGGTTCCTACATCTTCGCTGCATTCGCCAGGTATGACCGATGCCTCAGCAAGCGGATCCGCGTCCGTGACGGGTGTCTTATTGCCGCAGATGGTGTTTCTGCCGGCATCTTCGTTTCCACCATCTCGCTTTCCTGTTTCATTCGCATTATCCAAGGCATCCCCGGCAACGTCCGCAACAGAGTCTCCTTGCGTTCCCTTTTCTTCATCTTGCAGTTGCTGTTTCGGGGACGGCTCCACGCTCGTGTTGGCCCCGGTGCTTGGCATTTCCACAACCTCGACAGACAGCACGTGTGTGGAATGGGGCGACTTGGATGTGGACCCCATTGCTCTCGCCTCCCACGTCTTGCGCGTGTTGGCGCTCCTCGTGTTTTGCTCCAGAAGCATCAGCTCTTCTCGTGCGCGGTCCGCCGCTCTGCTCGCCTGGCTGGCGTTGATCTCACGGAACAGCAGCGCCTTCTCGCGATAGCGACGCCGCAGTTCCTGCCGCCGCAACTCCGGCAGCCTCGTCGACTCTCGCGAGGCGGTTGCCGGGATTGGCGGGCGTGGCTGCACACGCGTGAGTAGCGGCCCGCCCTTCAACCCCTGCGGCAGCTGCTCGTGTCTCGACAGCAACTTGCGGCCGCCAGCTGCTACTGATGTTGCTGCTGCAGCTGCCACTGTGGATGCCGTTGTGTCCCTCACGACCGCCGGTAACGTTGCCAGTGACGGTCGCTCGACTGAAGGCCGCGCGGCCGTACAGCCAATGTGGCCGCGTGTCATCTGCTGCATGTCCACCTCCGTTGGGGTTAGTTGTGGCACGTCCTTTACCATACGCCGCTTGTTTGCCTCTGCTGCGACTTGAATCTTGTAGATGAGCGCGTCAAACACGTCTGTCCCAGTGAGGTCGACAGCGGTGATGTTTGGGTTGCGCTCCACCAGCGACAGCAAGTGCTTCCCACCAGTCACAGTGATGGGGTTGCTGCGTAGGCTCAGCGACTGGATGCTCATGTGTTTTTCCAGCACCGCGCAGAGTAACTCGACCGTCGTGTTATCGGCGCCGTTGCCGTCGAGATTGAGTCGCGTAATCGTCTGGCAGTCTGCTATTAGCCGGATGATGGGGCACAGGCCGCGCGGGCCGAGGTAGTTGCTGCTGAGCACTAGCTCCTCCAAGGGTTGCGTAACGCCATGGTTCTCGATGTAGCGCAGCACCGCCGAGTTGGCGCGGCACTCCTCCTCCGCGCAGTAGGAGCGGTACAGCTCGGTCACGTTGAGTCGATCGCCCATGGACGAATGCTGCTTCCTCCACCCTCACGCATTGACCCAGACACAGGCAGAGAAATAAAGAGAAAGGACATAAAAAAGAGAAACACAAGCCCGCACCTGGCACGACATGATCATAGCCACTCCACTCTTCAGCAAAGGAAGTGAAAGGAGGAGGGAGAGAGCAAAAAAATAAAATAAAATAAAATAAAAAACGATAGAGGGAAGTGATACAACGTGTCTAATCTACACATCGTCTAGAAATGATGAATCTTGGCGGGAACAGCAAGACCACCACCACCACCACCATCACGTGCCAGCAGCAACTGCTCGATGTGGCGTGTGCTCTTCTCCCGCGCCTGCTGCTCGCGGCGGATGGCGTCGTGGAGCTGCGCACATGTCTCTTCAAAGAACTTCAAGAAGTCCGCCTGCTCCTGCTGATGCCGCTGCATCCACTGCTTCTGCTGCTGCGCCGCCCCCTGGCCGCCTGCCGCACTGGCCGCGACAAGCTCCGATAGTTGCGTCACCTGCTCGGCGAGGCTGTCCACGACGCGGCGGATGGCGTCGAAGCGGCCGCGCTCCTGCTGTTGCTGCGCCTGCTCGAGCCGCTGCCGCTCCTCCACCATCAAATCGCGCCATATTCCTTCCGCCTGCTTCTGCGCTGCCGTCGCCGCTGCCGAGGCGGCCTGCCACTCGCGCTGCATGCGCGCCATCTCCTCAAGGCACACGCGCTCCTTAGCGTCAACGGCGTTACGCGTCTGCACGAGCTCGCGCTGCACGCCTTCGAGCTGCTCGTGGAGGTCGCGCTCCCGCTCCCGCTCGCGGCGCTCGACGTACTCGACTCTGGCCTGCAGGGCGCGGAGATCCTCCGCTGCGCCGGCCATGCTACAAGAAGAAACAAGGAAAGGGAGCATAGACACACACACACACACAACCAAAAAAGCCTCAGTGCGAGTTGTAGTGTACACCCTGCATGCGCGGGTAAGATGCGCAAGCAGGCAAACAGCTGCTATTGTGAGTAACAACCTCAGGGTTAGTGGACCGTCTCGCTTACAGGAGCCTGCGCTTGCCGTAGCGAAGCTCGCAGTCAGGCAGACAAACACACAGACAGAGAAACAGGCACGCGGAGAGACTCTCACACTACGATGACACAGCAGACATGCGTTGCAGCAGCCGCTGCACTTGACACTGGCGGTGTGCGAGTTTCGCCCAATCCTGTGGCCGGTGCAAATACAACTCCACGCAGCAATTTGTCATGACCTTCCGTGCTATAAACGCTCGAACCTGTGGACTAGTGGAGGCTTCGGCGTTCACCCCATCCCCTCCTTGTTGCCACTCCTGCTCTTGCTCCTCTGTATTATGCGTGCCAGCATCACCAGCGCCGCGACGCAGAGTGTTGTATATTGGCACCAAGAGCTTCACAAGCTCTTCCTTCACCTCCAGCGACGCCACCTCGTAGAGCACCTCAACCACAAAAGCAGCGTATGTGTTCCCCACCAACTCCGGCAACAGAGGCTTGATGCGTCGCAGAAACCGGAGCGGCACAGACTTCTCCGTCAACTGTTCACCACTCTTGTTTCCTGGTGGCTGCGGTGCCGCTCCTACTGCAGCTGTGCGGGACGAGGCATGGGCACCAGCCGAGGCAGTAGAAATAGCAGCTGCGCGAAGGTACTGCTGCAGGACAAGGCTACCCTTTGCGTGCTGCAAGAGGGCTTCAATGTCCGAAAGGCACAGTTTGTCCATTGAGTGAACAAACATCCCCGACGCCGACGTGTTAAAGTGTAACAGGTATCGCGACAACTCAAAGCCCTTCTCGCGCAGGCCACCATCCACAAGGAGGTACTGTGCAGCACCCTTTGAGGACAGCTGCTTCATTGTGAAGCAGAGTGTTGTGACAACTGTCTTTTGGAAGTCTGCTGAGACTGCAAAGTAGCGCACCCCCTGCGCCACATCGCCGCGCAGCAATTGATCCACGTCCTTCGGCAGCGCGCCGCCAGCGCCTTCCGCAGCCTCACTGTCATCCTTGTTGTCCGGCGACCCACACACGCCCGCAAAGGCGCACTTCCGGGCGAACACCACAAGCACCTGCACCAACAAGGGCGATGGCAGCAACACCTGTAGCCGCGGCTTCAACAGCTGCTCCCACATGCGTTGTAAATGCAGCTCCGTTGGGGCAAAGAGAACGAGATCCTGTAGCGCGTACGTCGCTTGCGTGGTGCGGTCTTCGGCAGGATCGAGAAGCTCATCCAGCGCCTCCACCACAACATCGAGGGCCTTGTCCCAGCACGTCTGCTCATCGACGGCAGCGTTAACCTCGCCATCGTTCTCCGTGGCACCGTCACCTGCCGTGTCGCGCAGAATCCTTTTAAGTCGCCGCTCATTCGCACTAGTGCGGACTGCGACTGCGCTTACGGCTGCCGCTTTGCGGTTGGCGAGCATGTCGCAGGCTTCGAGCACAGCCGGCGGTGCCGGCACCTTCACGTATGCCTGGAAGATGTGGCACCCCAGCGGATCCATGAGGAGTTGCCGCAGCAGCAGTGGCAGCGACTCCTTGCCGTCACAGGACTCCAGTCGCTGGCGCACCGCCACATCCACAGAAGTACCGAACTCGCACACGCGAAGGAGGTTCTGCAGAATGAAGCTCGCGGTAGGGGTACTTGCAATACCGAGCCACACATCCACGGCGCTCTGAGTACGGCTGTCACTAAACGTATGCTCCAGTGTTTGCATCAATGCGCCTCCAAGCACACCCAGTTGTGGAGCGAACTTCACCGTGTGCTGCAGCGGCGGGGCGCCGCGTATCGTGAATCCACCGAGCACCAGCACAATGGAGCGCACCGCACGTGCACCAACCTCGTGCATGATGATGTCCCCCGCCCGCTCCACCAGCTCGTCAACAAGACACGTGACGAGTGTGGCGGCGCTTGGAACGCCGCTGCCTGCGTGGACACCCGGGCCACCATCCGCCATCTCGGCGTCAAAGGCTTCTGCATCATCGGCTAATGCGCTGAGTGCCTGTGCAAGGCTTACCATTAATGTCTCCATCATGTAGCTCGCAGTGGGTGACGTAACTGTGTCAAAGACGTGCCCGAGTAGAACGTAGAGGAGCGACTTACTGTGCAGTAGTAGAGAGTTCGCTAGCGCCGACTCAATGACACGGCAGACGGCGCCGTTGCGCAAGAGGTGCAGTGAGGGGTCCGCCTTGAGAAGCTTAATGAGCTCGACGAAGAAGCCGTCAACGATTGTGGCCAGCGTGCTTGCGTCCCCTGCGCCGGCTGCCTGCTCATCGAGCGCCCGCTGTACCGAAATGAAGTACGAAAGCGTGCGCTCCTTCTCTTTTTTCTCCTGCCGCTCCTGGCGGCGTTTCTGCAGCTTCGCCTCGGGCGTAAGGTCGCTGTAGCGGACGCGTGGCTGAGGGCGGAGATTATCGTTGCTGTCCTCGTAACTGTAGTGACTGTTGTTATTATTCTTGAAGCTGTTATGGGGATCCTCTCCATCATAGCGATACCTTTTATGGTGACTACGCATAACTCGCACTCTTAACAATCAGAGTGTACACACACAAACACACCTGCCGTGCAGTAAGAAGAGGGAAGTGCAATATATTCCTTACAGAGGTAAGCAGACATACAGAGAGAAACAAATGTTGTATGTACATCATGTAGACTCAGATGCATGCGTACACGTGGACTCAAAAACGTTGACGTACCAGGCGACAGACGCCCTCTCATCTTGATTTCCCACACCGCCACAACCATCTCCCAGCCATACGCGTCATGTTGCAGTAGCATCACTTTCCCTTTCACTACACGTGCACGGCGATGCCTCTGCGTTGCAATGTTACGTACTCGTTGGATGCTTCAACGTCCGCGAGGCTACAGGGCGGTATGCAGCCGTGAAGACCAACAAACCTCAACGACGGCAGCTCCTCACACGCCCCGAGAACGGAGACAACAGCGCCCAGCTCGCTTACACTGTTACCGTCAAGAAACAGCCGCTCCAAAGAAACCATGCTGGGAAGCGCATCAGCAAGCGCTTCAAGTCCGTCGGCCCCAATGCGACAGCTCGACAGCTTCAACTGTGTCAGGGTCTTTAGTGAGCACAGCGCCGCATCTCCCGCGGCAGCGGCTGAACCGTCCGCAAGAAGCGAGGCGCCTATGCTCCCGAGGCCAGTACAGGAGAGGTCGAGTGTCTGCAGCGTTGCAGCTGATTGGTGAAGCAATTCCGAGAGGGCCTCAAGACTTTGCATGTGCGCAAACAAAGGGTTCGAGCTCAGGTCGAGGTGTGCGAGACGGCGCACCACGAGCGCATTTGCCAGCGCTGTGAAGGACATGTCCGTCAGCGCGCAGCCGGAGAGAGAGAGACGGTGCAGCTCACGACACCCAGCGAGCGCCGAACCGAGCAGCTCGAACGGCGCCACACCGCCAACCAGCACGTGGGCTGTCTCCTGCGCCGCGCGGTACTCCTCCGTGCCGGTGTACCTGCAGCGCCCCTCCTGTGCGTCGCGGCGGTCGAGCTCGAAGGACGTGGGGACCTTCCAGTCGCCACTGCGGCCACCCTGCATAAAGCGGGGGTCGTACACAAAAAGCGGCAGATCACCCTTCTTCTGGCTCATTTTTACGCTGCTGCTGCTGCTGCTGTCATCTCCCTCCATTGGTAGTGCGGCGTCAAGCTGCCGCAAGTCATTGCGGTCAAGTACGAACTCCTCCAGTCTGTCAAAGAGTGGAAGCGCTGTGGAGAGCGCCGGGAGGCATCGCGCCGTCAACCGGCACCGCGTGACGTCGAGACGGCGCAGCTCCGGCCAGTACTTTGCGTACTGCAAAAAGCTGCTCAGCCCTTCATCTCCCAGTGGGTTAGAATGAAAATTTATGCAGCAGAACGAGGACGCCGCGATGAGCGCGGACCCCATGGCAGACGCACTCTTCTTCGTTAGTCGATTGTGACGCAGATGAAGCTCACGGAGCTCCTCGCATCGCATGCAGCAGCTTGCCAAAACAAACGCCCCATCATCATCTATGCCATTGCTACTGAGATTCAATACCTCAATGCTGGCAACTTCATCAGACCGCAGCTCTCCAAGGTCGCGGAGCATGAGCTGCAGCCCCCACGCAGATACGTTGGACTGCGAGAGGTTTAGCTGACGCAGTCGGTACCAGCCGCCAATAGCCGTCTTGAGCGAAACCATGAACTGCTGTAGCAGTACATCATTGAGCAGAGTGGAACCAAGATCCACAACCGATAGTTGCCGCATCCCTGCTACCACATCCCGCAAAAACGCAACACGAGTGAGGAAGCCGCGTGTGCCACGTAAAGAGAGATGTGTTATTGCGTGACAGCACGATATGACATCGCTAAGAGCCCTCAGGTCCTCCTCTCGCGCCCTCTGCAGGCTCAAATACTCCAACGATAACACCTGAAGCGTTGGAGGAATCATGGCAGCAAGCGTCGCCACCGACGTGTGATTCCATTGCAGTTCACGCTGCATGTCGCACGGCACAATCATTACGCGGAGGGACACGAGACTTGCAGCGCTTTTGGTAGCCTCGCAAAGCAGCAGGACGAGGTTTGTGTCGTCCTGAATAAATGCAACATCGTGCAAGGTGAGGTCAAGGGTGTGCAACGAGTCCATCCGCGCGGTGCTGAACATCTCAGCCACCGCCTTAGCCTCGGCAACAGAGCCGATCGTCACGGCAAGCCGTTGGACCAATCGTGCGGCAGCCGATGATGCCAGAGCGCAGCAGCAGCAGCGAGTGAGAGTCTCGGTGGGTGTGCGCGTCCGCTGCTCCAATGCCGCGAGGAGCGGGAAGTCTAAATCCCATTCGACCTCCTGCGCCACACGCCGATGGATGCTGGACAGCATGCTGTCGATAGAACGGCAGGAGGTCGTCTCCTGGAGTGTCCAGCACCATCGTTGCGCTAACCTTCCTGCAGGTATCAGCCTTGGAACGCGGCGCATGCGTGGGCACACACACACACACACACAGAAGCAGACTTTCTCTTTCCCCTCTGTCGGTCCGTTTGTCCCTCTCACACCTTCACACGTTGCAAAACAACAGCAAAAGAGAAGCACCCACAGCACGTGTAGAGTCTTTCATTTCTAGCAACACGCTATGTAAAAGTTCAGTGGATATGTGTGTACGTTTGCAAACGACGTCTCAAACACTCGCCTTCTCTCTATTACGATGCCGGAACTGTGAGCAAGAATGGATGCTTCTGCACCTCCACCACGGTGAGCCTACTGTCGGGGTTCAAACGGAGCATGTTGCGCACCAGATCAATTGCCAGCGGGTCCGGCACCAGCGCGAGGGCGGGGTGTGCGAGCAGAACCTCGTCCGCGGTGCAGATGCGCGTAAAGAGCATGTCCTCGTCACCGTCACCCTCCTCGAATGGGAAACGACCAGTCAACATCACGAAGAGTACAACTCCAGCCGCCCATACGTCCACCAGCTCACCCTTGTACGGCCACCCCATCACAAGCTCCGGCGCTGCGTAGTGCCTCGAGGCGCAGCACAGCTGCAGCATGCCTTCGCCCTCGTCACGCGCGGGAATGGCTGCACAAGTGCCAAGACGGCCCAATTTGGCATGATTGTCGTCGTCAAGAAAGATGCTCTCAAGCTTGATACCACGATGCACCACACCGCAGGTGGTGTGCAGATAGTGAACCGCGCCCATGAGATCCCGCATGATGCGCCGCACGAAATTGAGTGACAGGCATTCAAACGCTTGCTTGCACGGCACATCCGACTTGCTGTGCGTGGGCGTCGCTGAGGCAAGACTGCGGTAATACGCATCCAGTGTCGCAAAGAGCTCACCGCCGACGCAGTGCTCCTCCACAACGAAGAGGTCCGACTCCGACACAAACGCCGGCAGCCCTTGGACAATGTTTGGGTGATTCACCGTGCGAGCCACGAGGACCCCCCGCTCCACACGGTCGCGAAGCAGCGGATACCTGCGCAGTTGCTCCAGTGCGTACACGCGGATCTGTACTAACTCCTTGGTGTACTCGGATAGCCCCACAAACGTCTCATGAGTGGCACTACTGGAGACGTGCTGTAGATGCGTGTAGCCCGTCAGCAGAAACATTCGCCCAGCTTCATCACTACATTCCTCGCCACACTCGCCGCTTCTGCTGTTGTTGCTGTCGCCGACGCTGGAGCGGACGGACGGCATGCAAGCTGCGAACTTTAATCCTTACCAATGAAGGAGAGAATAGACACAAGTTGGAAACACTCTACATGCTTCCACCAACACTCAGCGTACAGTATTGTGAGGCTATGACACTCTACACGGGGCCAAATTGGCCACCAGTCCTCTTAANCATCCCTCACAGCAATTTCTCCAGCTACACAGAATGAGGCCATAAATGCATTCTCAGCGAGCCACCGTCTCACTGCCATTGCCACAGCCCCCCCTCCCCAACAGTGCACACGAACAGGCCCACCCAAATAAGGAACAACACAAAGGAGCCTGTCAACACAACAGAGCGAGCAACTGCAGGGTCTTTGCTACCAGCACGTTGTGGAAGCGGGAACAATTGGTAGGATAAGCCCCTGCAGTGACAAAAAAAAAAACAACCTCGCGTCGCGTCAAGGTTAGAGGGAATACAATAATAGCCACACCCAGAAAGCCGACAAGGGCACACACACACACAAGGAACGCGACAGGAGGTGGGGAGAGCGATATCTACCGGCCAATTGATGATTGTCGCCACCAACAATGAGGACATAACATGCCCATTTATTCACCGGAGTTGTGATACAACGGGAGGGCTGCAGGGCGTGAAGTACCTCCAACAACAAAGTCTTCCTCAAGTGGTGTGCCATATATATATATATATATGCACCCGGTAGTGCGCCTACACCGACGGGCACAAAACCCCCACACAAAGACGCTCCCCACCTTGCCTGGTAACAAACCAACATATTATGCTCGCCGTCGTTGTCGCACAGCTTCCCCACGACTGGCAATAGCAGGTGGAATGTAGACATTTTTCCTGGAACTACCCACTACAAAATCGGCTGTGCTGTCCTTCATATCCAGCAGCGACAAATGGCGCGGTTGCATGCCAATCATTTCCTCAAACAATTTCTCTTCCTCCGCTGCCACGCCGGAGGGACGCGCGCGCAACTCCTCCAGCCTCCGCTGAAGCAGTCGCTTTGTAAAAGGCATCACATAGCTGTCCCTCTCCAGCAGGGCCTTCCAGATGTGATTTGCGTCAAGCCAGCGCTCCTTTGCGTTATTGATCATCACAACCGCCATGAGGGACTCTTGTAAGACAATCGGCGAAATACGGTATCCCTTGTCGCGCCACGCACGCAACATCGATGAAACCAATTCCGGTGAATGGTGACGCAGCAGCCGGGTGTACGTGGCACGCAAGAAGTCGTCCATCTTGGCGTGATCGCAATGATCGTCAATAAGTTTCTTCGCCTCCAGAGCTCGTGGGGAGAACATACAGCAAAGAAGAAAGGCACGCCACTCCACAGTCCCCCACTCAATGGCGCGGCTCTGCGACATGCCCCACAAGCCGAATGCGACTTCACTCCAGTCCTGATTCTGCGGGAGTGCCGTATTCTCGTCCAGCACACCTTTACGTCGCTGTGCCTCTTTCAGCGCGGGGCAGTTGCGCTGCCTTTCCGGTGTCTTCTGCCACACGTAGACGCACACATTGCGATGATTGTATGGCTCGCCGCATAGCGGGCACGGCCGCCCACCACCCGAACGGGAGTAGTAGAACATCAGACGACTCATGTCGGGGGCAGCCAACACACACTGCGGTAGTGACACGCGCCACCGCATGAATAGCTCCGGCACGTTTGGGTAATTCAGCGCGCACGCAAGTTGCATGAGCTTTGCGGTGCTACTCTCTGCGATGCCGATGCCATAGCTATCAGCATCCTCCATAGTGGCGATCATCTTCTCTACATTGTCCGTGGCAAAGTAGTAATCAATCAACCGGTACATGATGCCAAAGTTCGGCCGCGAGGGGATGTCCTGCCGCAGCATCTCGAGCATCTCCTCCAACACCGCGTCGCACTGGAGGGTGCACTCGTCAAAGTCAACGCAGCGCACACCACTGACAACCCATTCCACCACCACACCGTCGCGCTTTGAGAAATTCTCTGGGAAGGTAGAACGGTAAATGTTCTGCCGATCAAAGAAGCCCACAACCATTGTAAGAAGAAATATGATGCGGGTATACAGCACGTGATCAAACACAAGGCAATCCTCTTTGCAGATTTGCACAAGCTCACGGATGTGGGCAATGCCCTCCGTAACAAGCAGCGGTGAGCGGCCCTCGTAGTTAAAGTGATGGGAGAGCCACTGCCGAATCAGCGTGAAGCCCTCCGCCGCGAAGGTGCGTGTCAGCACGAACCCCAACCGACGGAATTTGTCGACACACTCAAACCACTCATACAGGCAGCGTGTGCGTGGCGCCACAGCAGTCAACGCTTGTAGCACAGCCACTCGATAACCATGACCGTTCAATACATCGTTGCACAGAGGATTACGATACAAGACGGTATTGAGCACATGCCGCACCTCCTTGGCATTCTTCGCACCCTTAAGGAGTTCCTTCACGTCCTCGGAGCTTGTCAGCGGCACAGCATCCCGCAGGATTTCGAGAACGTCTGCCTCGCATACCTTCAGCTTTCCAGACTCGTCCTCTTCACCTGAAAAATCATCACACGCTTTCTTGTCACCTGCTGTGGCATCGACAGATACACGCCGCATTTCTTCTTGATGCTGCTGCTGTTGCTGGGCTTCACTCTCAAACGCGTCCTCCACAAAGAACGTGTCTGAGCTTCCCAGCTGCGGCGCGGAAAGGTGCAGGCGTCGCTTGCAGATTAGGCAAGTGAGGCCGACAGCGACATTATTGCTGCTGCTTCTGCTGCTTGTGGTGGTGCTGCAGAGCGCGAATGCACGTCGTGCTGCTGGCAAGGCGACAAGATGCCTTAATCTAAAGTGCATCTTCTTCCTCCCTCTTTCCTTCTTCGCTACAAACAGAAAAAAAGTGTTGAGGCAATCGGGGGAATCGTTACAAACAAGAACGCTCGCCCGTCAGACGCCGCCGCTGCCCACTGCACAGCACGGCGACAGCGACAACGGGGGGTGCGCGGCTCAAAAAAAAAAACTGCATTTTCCATCACCGTACAGCTCTGACGGGAGCTCTCTGACCAAAGCTGCGCAGAGGAGCGATGTGGGCCTCGCTCACATCACTTCGCTCTGCACTTAAAACAGCAATCTGGAACCCTGATGTAAGTGTCCAGGAGCAGGCGCAAGAGATCTTGTATTTTGTTTTGCTGTTGTTGTTATTGTCGTTGTACGTTGACTTGCCGGCGCACAAGAGAAATCAAGAAATACGAGAAAACGATATAGTAAACATGGGAGAGTCTCCACTGAGAAACATAGCCAGTAAGAATAGACGGGTAGTCCTGCTCACTGGCGCAAGGTGCCCGCCTCAAACAATGAAATGATTGTCTGGCTTCCAGAATGAGCAGCTGGCGCCTTGGAGCACCAGTTCCTGTGTCCTTTTCAAACAAGTATACCGCAAAACGCTCACTTTTTGCTCGGTCACATTGCTTTTTTTTTTCTGCACATGCACGGGTCCCTGCATTTTTTTTATGTATATGGGTAAGTGCCTGTGTGTGTGTGCGTGCGTCCATTCTGGCTCCGCAGGAAGGCCCCGCAGCACAGAATGCACGCACACGCACACGCACACACGGGCACATAGGCACATGCAAACTGATTCGCACGTAAATACACATTCTCTTAGTCTTGGCTCTCCTTGCAAGCGTTCCTTCGCAGGCTAAGCTCTCCATCTGCGTCTTCAGAAACGTTGCCCATTGCGGATCCTGCTCTTTTGTCTTCTTTTTTGATTGTTGTTGATTTCTTTTCGCTAAATTTTTCCTTTTCTTTTTCTTTGGAGGCCTTGAGCCCCCGTGTTCTTTTTTGGTTTTGTCTTGCTGTGTTTTTTTCTTTTCTTTACACCGGCAGAGCCACCGTCTTTCCTCTTCTATGCCTCTGCCCTCATTCCATACTCTATCCCACACAGTTCGCGCACCCAATGCTGTTGTTGTTGCCTTTGTCGCCGGTGCAGCTGAGGCCTCTTGGGTTGCGCACAGCGGCATTACAAAGCGAACATTGGAAGCTCCAAGAGCCGCTTCGCCGAAAGACGCTCGTCTGGACTAACCTTGAGACAGCTACGCACAAACTCCGTGTCAAACTTGTCAAGACTCTCCGGTATGATGGGCATCGCCGCCCCGCTGCCAATCTGAAAGACAAGAATCTGCGGCGGCATCCCAAGGAACTCCTCCGCATATGGCAGTTTCCCAGTCACAAGCTGGATGAACACAATACCGCAACTCCAGATGTCACTTTTCTCTTCTGGAGTGCCACGGGCGGCCTCCGGCGCCAAATAAACGGGTGTGCCTTGCACCTGCAGGCCCTTGCCTTCCATCCGCCTCCGTACGAGTTCCTGCAGGAAGGCAGACGCCCCGAAATCAGATATTTTACAGTTCCCGGCAAGCGTCAAAAGGACATTTTGGGGTTTGACGTCACGGTGGATTACACCCATCGAGTGCAATTTGTGTAATCCACGCAGTACGTCCCGAATGAAGAGGCGCGCCGTCATGCTAGGGATGCTGTTAAAGGAGGAGAGCATGCCTTGGAGAGATCCTGCCATCATGCACTCCATGATGATAATGATAAGATCATTCTTGAAGGCGTACGAGATGAACTCAACGACGTGGCTGCTCTTCACCTTCTGCATCGTCACCACTTCTGTCTCTACATTGCTAACCTCCTCCTCATCTGACGGCAGTGGGAGGAACTTGATGGCCACCATACGACCACTGAGGACATCCATACCGAGGTAGACGCAGCCAAAGGAACCTTTCCCGAGTATGCGAGAGCTGCGCAGGTACGTGATGCCGTTTTTGGCCACTATTTCCTTTGGAAGCTCGTACGTGAGCTTTGTGAAAGAGCCGTCAAGGTCTCTGAGGGAAAGAGTCGCTGCGCCAGCCACTACGTCGCTCTGAAACGAGACAAAGGAGTCAGTGCCGCCAAGATGACTGCGACTGCACCCCCTAATGACGGTCGGACCCAGCCGGTTGGTGAAGGAGAAACGCTGACGCCCATCTCCGCTCATCGCCTCACCAGTGCCGTTATCCTCGGTACAGGACTCATTGGGTGTGCGGATAGAAAGCACCGACCCTCGTTCACCCGAGTCTCTTTCACCACCCGTCGCTCCTCCTCCTCCTCCTTCGCCGCCGCCGCCTTCCAGAACGGTGGCGGCGACGTCACTCCGACCCTCATCCTCACTCGTGCTTTGTTTCCACGAATTGGTTCCCACACGTCGCAGTGGCTCCGCCATCGACAGCGGCTCCATTATAGACAACGTCACTGGTTTTCCAGGTTTTGTCTCGCTACCTGCTGCTGGCGCTGCAAACGCCGCCATAACTGGTGATGCTGCTGAGCCAATCTCAGCTGCAGGGGAAGGCGGGAGCGAGAAGGGCTCTGGCTGGAGTTGACTCTCAGCTACAGCGGATGCTGGGGTCGCCTTGCAGCTTGTTGCCCCACTTCTCAGTGCCCCAGCGTCCAACGGCTTTACCGCAGTTCCCACACCTTGTACTCGTCTAGAGGCAAGTACATTATCATGCAACTCCTGACGGAACTTCACCGTATCATCCTCGTAGATAGATTTGGACTGTTTTGGAAACCGGTATACATCTGTGAGGCCGTCGTCCTTACTGTCTGGTACAAGCAGTTCGCTTGTCGCATCAACGTTTGCAATAGCTTCGTAAATAGGCCACGTTGGGTAATTTCGAAAGTACGGAAGCGGTAGTTCCTTACTGTGGTCTTTGTAGTACTGACAGAGTACCTCGATGCGGCTCAACAATCGGCGCCCCGTTCTTGGGAAACGCATCCGCAACGTTTCAATACCAGCCAACGCGCGATCAAAGTTATGGTGTCTAAAATCAAAAAACACACATGCGTGTTCCTCGGCAAATGCTGATGATGACTGGGGAATCCCCTTCATCAATGGTGTCTTACGCTCCTCACCGAGCTCGAACATAACCATAGGGGTGTCATCCTCGTGGTACTTGATCACATCAACCATGATGCACTCATAGAGAGATGACAAGGATTGTTTAACAGGTTCCGCCACCAGTACATTGAAGCAAGGGAGGGACGCTGCCAACTCAGCAAGTGCAAGCGCCTGGCGAGGCACCGAGCCAAACACTGTTGTGAAGGCCTCCTTGTTGTCTTGTACAACACCACACACAAATGGTCCCTGGTGCAGCACGATACCCACACGGAAACCTGCCTGACGATACGGAGCCAGTAACCTTGCAATGCTCAGCGCACATGCCGCGGCACGCTGGGCATGATCGGTGCGACTTTCAAAGGCGTTCCACGTGGCTGCGATACAGTCCCCCGACCGCTGAAATAACTCTCCACGGTAATGACGAATTCTCCCGAGGAGGAGATTCATAATACGTCGGTGCTGCTTCACAGCGAGACCGTAGTTGCTGAAGTACGCCATCTCGACAGCGCAGAGGTAGACAGATAGTATAGTGGCGCTCTCAACTATTGCCATACCACGTCCAAACGTATCACTGTTGTGCGTCATCCCAAAGGTGGCACTCGTTTCACCCACCTCGCCTTCAGCAGCATTAAAACACGCACTGCTTTCGCGCCGCATCCTTCTTCCAGCAGGCTGCGCTAACGCCTCATGCATATTCAACTTGTTCATACTAGACATTCCGTCCACCACAGAGACCGTGTTGACAAATGCCGTCATGTCCGCTCCGCCATTCACCGCTGCTGTTTCATCATCATCTTCGTCCTCCTCTTCATATTCGGTCAGTTCCTCAACGATTGTGCTTTTCAGGAAATCTTTGCGGGTCTGCAAATCAAGCACCTGTTGTTCAAGAATGTGTTGTGGCACATATTTCTTGTTTAGTCGAAAGCAGAAGACGAGCAACTGAAAGGTTCGTACGAGAGCCTGAAGATCGCCGAGCCAACAGCTTCGCGTGTACTGAAACAGCAAATTTTCTCTTTTTGTCCTCACTCGCTTGTCGCCAACAGCACTGAAAATAAGTGTATTTAGGTGCTTGACTGGGACACTGATACTGAAGTAAGCAATTAAAATCATGACTAGAAATAGCACAACAGCAGCAGTACTTACTGCTACAACAGCTATTATAGTCGATTGTGTCTCTCGCACTAAGGGCTCATCGCTAACAATGAACCAGATGGCGGTGGGATTTTCAGGAACGCAGGAATCTGCAGTGTGGTCATAGCACAAGGCACCACACAACGCCACGCGTGAGACTCCACCCCATACACCCTTGTACTCAATGTAAGGAGACGGCATGCCACTGGAGAAGTCCGAGGGGTTGTTTTTCCACGTGAACGACTCATCTGAATCAGGACGCATCACATTATGCCATGTATATGCCTTTCCTGCAGCGCACACCTGATCAAATGTTCTGTGCAGCTCCTGGGCCAGCGGTGTAGGTTGTGCAATGCTGTAGTTGTCGTATTCTTTGCTCAGGCTGTGGAGAGCAACGAGACGATTGGTTGAAGTAAACTCTGGCATAATAAAGGAGACCGAACATCGCTTTAGCGTCAATGAGCTGTATGCCGGGATGGAGTTTGCTAGAAGAAGTTGACCTACCGGCTCCTTTGCGAGGACGACTAAAAGCACTTCTGATCCACTGGATGAGCCCATCGTGGCGATGAGATAATCGGAGTGAAAGATGGCGATGCGCAGCGGCTGGCCACTCGACATATCCACGGAACTTAGATACGGCGGTGCGAGGACACCATTAGAAATGGCTATAGGACACTCATACGACCAAGTAAGGGAGCCATTTGGTCCACTGTATGTTGCAAAAACCAAAGCAGCCCCACCAATACTCGCACAAAGATCACCAATGTCTACCTTTGTGGTTCCCTCAAGATGAAAGCGGTCCTTTGCGAGGTCGAAGAGCTGCATCAAATGTTTCGTGCTGTATTGCAATGACCTCAGTTGATTCACAGAGGTTGCAGCTGATACTGCCGCTATTTCCTCTTCACCGGCGACGATGTTGTTCTTCTCCACAAGTTGAACCTGCCCAATGAGCAAAAGGAAGATGATCACAACAACTGAAATCATGCCATACAGAAGCCATGTAAGTCGCACGCCGTGGTTCTTCGAGGCGTCACGCAGCATGTCCTCCAACGTCACCGTGGTTCGGTCCGAGGGTTCTGCGACCCGCATCCCACCCGGTGTTGTAGGCGTGCAGGGTGAGCTGACGAAGCCGTGTTTGACTCGCATAGGCACAAAGTCATTCTCACTATCATGGATAACTACATCAGTGGCTTTGACTCTTCTTGTTCCCGTTTGCAGCGGGTCATCATGCAGCAGACCGTGAAAGCTCCTTAGCTCCTTCGCGGACTCCTCTAGGGAACTCTCATTGTGTTGCACCTCAAGGTGCGAAATGCCGTGCATGAATCGGGAGCCAGTCACGCTCAACAGCGCTTGTGACGATATTTTATTGCTCACCTCCGCTGCCGCTATCTGTTTTCCAAGGTCGCCTGCATTTAACGGACTCGCGCCAGTGCTGCTCAATCCACTAATGGGGCTCAAATGCAAATTGTTTTGATTCCTCGTAACGGCGACGGTGTCTTGAAGGCTATCCCATCGCCGAAACCCTGGAGACTTGGGGATGCTGATACGAAGCCCCGACGACGCAGAACAATCCGCGCTTGACTCGTTAGCCTCCGCAGGAGTGTCCATTTCTCGATGCATCACTCGACACCTCCACAATCGCAATCAACTCCTTTATATACTTTTAACGTGATTTGATGCAGCTTCTTTTCTATGGGTGCAACTACCTTTGAATAGGAGACGGTCACCCTTCAGTCTCCGCGGAACGAACCAACTCCTATCCAAGAACTAACTTCGTTTTTCTCTCCCGCGTTGGTGCAAGATGAATGAACAATGAACAATGAACAAAGGCATTACCACACACACACACACACACACACACACACACGCACACGCATACATACATTCAAAAAACAAAGAGAAGAGAAAACAAGAGAAGAGAAGGAAGTAACAGACAATAAGATGAACGCTTCCACCAGCAAGCTGACGATACTCGTCGGGCAAAAGCACAGTGGGTGTGTAGAGTGATCACCTGTCGCCGCCGCAAAGAAACGGGCCAGGAGAGTGCAGANCTCGTCGGGCAAAAGCACAGTGGGTGTGTAGAGTGATCACCTGTCGCCGCCGCAAAGAAACGGGCCAGGAGAGTGCAGATAACGGGGAATTGGAGGAAGAGTAATACCAGTCTCCAAGTGAGGACGAAAGCCATTCATACGTGTATATATGCAGGTGTGTATGTGTATGTCTATTACTCGCCTTGCTGTGTGTTGTGTACTGCAGCTCCCCCGCTGCCGGGCACGAGAAAGCCCAACGGCACCGAGAAGCAAGAAAGATTGGACCCACCGCCGTGGAGCCACCACTCTCTATGACGTCCGGAATAGACGGTAAGGAAGCACAGTATAACACTTCTTTCAACTTTCATCTCTCCTTCCTTCTCTCTCTCTCTCTCTCTCTCTCTCTCTCTCTCTCTCTCTCTCTCTCTTTCTCTCTC